AAAAACATGAAAAAAGAGACGATTTTCTTCCTAATACTTAGGTACAAATAACTCTGAAACCAATCAAGCTTCAATGATAATTTTTTCACAGTTGTAAACCCTTATAGCTCCTGGTCGAATAGCAGTTTTTTCATTTGTTCAAAATGATAATTGTTTATACTAGCAACAATTTTCTTGACGGATGCACAATTTTACAACATTCCTCTTCATTTAAACCTACGGTATCTCGCTTGTATAAAGCAATATAAATAAATTTTTTTTACTACTAACCTGAGAAATTGTCATTATTCAATCTATTTTTCTAGGAAAAAATTGAATTTCTCTCCCTAGGTGAATAATGAAAATAGTGAAAAAATACCTAGGTTAATAATGAAAATGACGTCATGATGCAAGGATATTGTCATGTTTCTATTGGTTCAATTTCATTTCCATACGTCAATTTGAAAAAAAATACAGGTTTCTGTAGGTACATAGGAAGTTATCATAAGCTGTTGATAGAGAGCAGTACTTTCAAGAGGGCGTTCAAAAAAAATAATTAGAGCACAGATTTTAAACAAATTTTACATTTTCTACTAGCAGTAGTAAAAAAAATTCTATATATTCCTCGGTAGAGAAAGTCATTATATACCTCACTCATTATAAACCTCGGCGCGAGCGCCTCGGTTTATAAAAGCGCTCGGTATATAAGGACCAACTTCTCTACCTAGGTATATAATATACTATTTTTTACAAAAAGTTGAGAAATTTTATAGGCAATATTTTGTCTCGATCATTATAGGGTCTATTTTTAAAAACAAACCCGCTAGAACCATTTAAACACAATAAAACGCGAGAAAGCGGCTGGTTTGGGCGACTTCCTCTCCATTCCCGCAACCACCCACCGCCGCGGCCCGCATCATGCCTACTGTAATGCAGAAAGGGGGAGTTTGGTAGAAGTGAATCTCACAGAGTCCGTAATTTGTGAAGTTTGCAATAATAATATTTATTTAATTATAGATTTTTTGGCTTTTGTAAAGCATACCTATTATACAGGATAAATACCATTCAAAACAAAACGAGCTAAATGCCACGTTTACTTTTTAAAAAGTCGCTCCTACAGGTAATTTGATTTTCAAAGGGGGAAGTTTTTTGCAATCATTTCTGGCACTTCAACTTTAACCCTCTAGGCGGGGTGGGCCCTTACCATTTTAAATCGAACAAGGAGTCGAGTGATACCTCTTTTAAAAGAGCATTGAATTCTTATTCATTTGATGTCAATTGAAAGAAAATTGAACGGTCTTTTAACAGGTATCACTCGACCCCCTGTTCCATTTGGAATGATAAGGGTTGGTCCCACCCCCTCTAGAGGTTAAAGTTGGTGCTGGAAATGTTTCAAACACTCACACAATCCAATTACGTGGACGAGTGATTTATTTACAATAAAAGTGGCATCAGATATTTAGCCTGTTTCGTTTTAAATGGTATACCCTCTCTATATATCGAGTGTTTTTACCTATGCCTATAAAGTACTAGTTTTATAGGGGTGAGTAGGTACCTAATGGCTATTTGCACGGCCCGTTGTAGGACTTCACTAATGGCCATTTGCACCGCTATCACTTAAGGGATATTTAATCTAAATGGAGCTTTCAATGTTCTTTTGTTTCTACAAGAGTCACATTCAAAGCTCCACTTAGATAAAATATCCTTTAGGTTACAGCGGTGCAAATAGCCGTAAGACTATTTGTTATTATTTTGTGAAATTTTTGTCGTAGTTTGCGTGAATAGGAGAAACAAAAGCAATATATTATTTCGCATCAGGGTTGCCACCTTTTAGGTCTAGAAATAGGTACCTATATGATAACTATTTTTGAATAAAAACTTTGTTTTGTTCAACGTTATTCCTTTTTAGATTGGATTCATTATGGAAAAAGCTAGTTGTCTCTTTTGTGGGGAAGCCACTGTAACTAGCGATAACTTAATGGTAAAAATATCAACGATACCTGAATTACAATCAATTTTGAAATGTTCTCGTCAAAGGAATGATAACGTATCTGTGAAAATTCTAGAAAAAAAACAAGACCTCTTATCGCATCCTGATCAATATTCCAATCATTTATCGTGTAGAAAATCTATAGTGTCTATAATGTTTGATAGGTATGACCTTGAATATTCGACAAAAAACTCAGAACGAGAAAGAAGAGGTACCTATTCAAAATAATTTCAATGTCTATAGTATTGTACAATCCAGGACAGTTCCTAACCACAAGAACTTTCTTAGATCTCCAGCCAATAAGAAGGCGCTTTTACAGTTTGTTACTGACTTTGTATATAAATCTTCGAATTTGGTACCGCATGGTAGAGAAGTAGTTGTTGCAGGAGGGTGTCCGATGGCTAATAAATGTGCGAGGGAAAATAATTCGTCCAAATTTAAAAGTTGGCCTTTACATGATATGTGTGATTTTATTTTTATTAGGTGAGAAATGACAGCTGCATTAAGCTACCCGAGCTTAAGTCAAACCATGAAGAGGCTGATACTCGTATTCTTTTTCATATTCCATCGTCAAACACTATTGGTGAGATGGTTGTCAAGACTGATGATACCGATGTTTTGGTTTTACTAGATTTATTATTATTCCTGTACAACGAGTTCTCTCTTTAAAATTGGGAAAAAAACTGCCTGAGAGATATATTACAAGAACTGTCAGACAATTAAACTGAATGAGTTTTCCAGCGGAACAATCGAGGAAAGTGTTGACATCGCTAGAAAGTTTTCTTGCTATCTAATATAAAGCCCAATCCATTCAAAACTTAAACTATGTAAAGACAGAAATGACACTCAAGACCAAAAAACCTGCTCAAGAGTTGCCACCGACAGAAGACAGCTTTAAATTGCATGTACTTAAGTGAATAACTAACTACATATTTGAACGATTTTCATTTACGTTTTCCACCAGATTTTTTTTTCTGGAATACTATAATTTTAACATATTATGAAACGTTTTGTTGTAGGTCGTATTACCAGGTTCATATTTGGGTTAATAGCCATATTGGTATGGTTTCACAATTACATCCACTCAAGTTTGAATGGAAAAAAAGTAACAGTTCTCTCTTGCCAAAAATGATGCGTCAACCTGTAGTTCCAGAAGAGATTAGGAACATACTATCTACCTATATTTTGCAATGAAAAAAATTGCATGAATCAAAAATTTTTGTGCATTAAAGAAGGCGTTTTTTGTATGGAGGATTGCAAATGTAAAATGAAATGCTCCTATCTGCCCTTTGGTTCCCGATTTAGTATCCGAAGAAAACGAGCTGGATTTGGAATTATTTTGATTAAGTTCTATCTACAACTACAAAAGCACAGACCAAAGTCCATAATATCAATGGTTCAAAGGGAATGGTGCAGCAAGCTAAGCGTCGCGTCGTTCGCAATGGAAAAAACCCACCTTTAAGCGTGTCGCATAGGCACGCGTCCCGTCGTTTAAATGCCGCTACCCGTTTTATTTCTAAAAATAGACCAAATGTTTATTGAGATAAAATAAAGTCCATTAAATTGGACAGTTTTTGAAAAAAAAAATAATGCGAATAGCTCCTTGCATAAGAAAGTTATGGCAAGGTGAGCTTAAAAAAATATTGACAATTTGTTGACTTTTTCAAAATATTACTGTTTTCCAAATATGGGTTTCAATAAAATATATACCAAAAGATAGGAAACTGAATGGGGAATAAAACTAAAAAAAAAACTTTGGTTCTACCTGGTCTAGAAAAAAAGTTAGGAGTGTTTAAAGTTTGAAAAAAAATATATCCCTTTTTTTTCAGTTTTTTGCCCATATCTTTGGATGGAGAGTGTCGTCAATTTTCATTTTCTACGTGAAAAGACATGCTTTTTCAATTGGTGAAGGTCCCATTTGGTTATACCCCAGTTTTTTTTCTGTGCTTCCTAGACAGGCCAGGCCGCTAGACTATAAAGATACTTCTCAATAAAACATACACAAAATGTGAACACAATATTAGCAGGGAACAATTTGGATTCCGCATCGAGCTAGGAACGCGTTAATCTATTTTCTGCACGACGACATTATTGCTGAAGAGCTGTGAGTTTCGAAAAAAACATCTTTATAAGTAGGTTTTATTGACTTCGAAAAAGCAACTCGGATTGCAATCAACGGACATAACATTGAACTATTTCTACATTTCAAATACTTGGGCAGCTGGCTAAACAGTGAAGCTACGTGCGACGAAGAGGTCAAAGCGAGGATTGAAATGGCACGTAGGGCATTTAATAAATGGAAACCAACTCTCACCAATAGAAACCTCACAGTACAGACGCGGTTAAGAACACTCAGCTGTTACGTATGGAGCATTCCCTTGTACAGATATGAGACATGGACGCTTAAAGCTGATACCATGAACAAAATAGAAGCGTTTGAAATGTGGTGCTAACGGAGAATCCCCAAAATCCTTTGACTCGCACATATCAGCAATGAAGAGGTACTAAGACAGCTGAATAAGGACCGAGAACTTCTGAACACCATAAAAATAAGAAAGGTTAGTTATTTCCGACATATAATGCGAGGCACCAAATATCACATCCGTCGCCTGATCATCCAAGGAAAGTTTGAGGGCAGAAGATGTATAGGTTGCAAAAAACTGTCATGGCTACGAAACATTCGAATTTGGACCGTGCCGGGAGTGGAACAACTATTCCGAGTAGCGACAGAGAGAGCAATTTAACCAGATTGGAGATAGCCCACACCTGAAGGGAGGCACGGCACCGAAAGAAGAAGTTGTAGCATAAACTTCTGTTTTACCCTTGATCAGATAATAGAGCTAACTACAACACATTAGACGAGATTCCAGGCACATGTTTTCTAGTTGAAGAAGTGGCTCATTATAAGTTTCCTTGTTGATTCTCTTTTTAACTCACTGATACAAAAAAATATTGCTCATGAGATCACACCATGTCTGTATTATCCCAATAGTCATTTATTATGATAATTTGTATGTGGAACATTTTTCAGGGTTGCTACTAAAAACGCGGCAAACGAATCCAGTCCCAGCACCTCTAGGGGCAGAAAAGAAGCCAACACAACGATGTGTCCTATTTGTCGCGTATCATTTCCAAGAAGAGAGATTGAGGTAAATTATTTATAGTTGCTCAGCATCACTTATTTTAGTTATCATAATACCGTGGGAACCCATCTATGAAAAAAATTATAATCAATCATGTCAATCAGAAAATAGTTATAGGCATAAAGTTAAAACAAAGACAATTTTGGCTCTATATTGGTAATTTGACAAATACCGATGATAAGTAGTTGGCAAAAAGTTTATTTGAAAAAGCATTTTCACACCAACTCCAATGGGTGAATGGGTTCCACTGTATGACTTTGACTGAGCCACTGTACTATTTTGTTAATTTGTTTTACTTACAATAAATTTCTTATCAAATTAGGAACATGCAGCAACGTGTGGTTTGGACGTGTTCCCTACAAATCCTCAAAACCAGAGGTTGACATGTGAAATTTGCGACACTGTGATACCGTTGTCAACCCAGTACGAGATACACGTCAAACAATGTTTGGCCAAGAAAAACGGGTAGCCTTGTTGAATTTATATTTTTGTTTATGTCGATATTTTTTTTTGTAACTTAAGTATAGATAATCAGTTAAATCTGTATTGATATTAAATTTACTTGAAATGGGCCATAAGTGAGAAGAATCAGATTATAAAAACTCATTGTTGCACGAATTTCATTGGATCTGATTCTTGTTATTGCAGACCTGATAAAATAGTGTTTGGCATAATATGTAGCAATAGTCAAATTATTTTAGTATTTTTCGTTACAATTCCAAAAATTTACAAAATTCAAAATTAAATGTTTGTTTGTCCAGAGTGCCTTGAAATTTTCAGCGGATATTTAATTGTGTTTTTGTTACGATTTTTACCTGATCTGCATAAGCAAAAAGTATATTGAGTTGAAGTTATTTTCAGGAATTTTATCTTTAGGTGGGTTCTAACAGACTCCTTCCTTAATTTAGCATTTTACGTTATTTTGGTTTGCCTGAGGCTAAAAATCGAAACTGATTTAAAGTATATATTATGGTGCAAATTGGTTCTCAAATTGAATTAGGCAGGTTATAAAACTATCCCAGGAAGAATTAAAGGAAAAACACGGCTGAACTATAACTGACTTGTTCTGCATTTATTCTAGTTGAAAATACTTTTTACTTGTGCTGCTCAGTATTTAATTTTCTATTTTTTATCTTTTATTGGTGAATATGTCCCACACATCACACAGTACGTATAAAACATTTGTGAAACTATAAGTTTGTAGAATTAATTATTATTTCTTTTTTATTTAATAAACTTGATTTTTTTTCTATGAAGTACTTGTTTCATCTTTGCCGTAAAAATAATGTTACTGCACATCACAAATGAGCCTCTTTGCCAGTTATTTGTGGTATAGGCATATAAGGTTGCCACCAGTGGCTTATACAGGGGTGGGCGCGGGGGGCGCCCCCCCCTCAGAGCCTCAAAAACTATTTTTTTTTTTTTTAAATCATAGACAAAAAAATTTTATAAAAGAATTTTCCAATAAGAGTTCATGGAAAAATTTTCCAATAAAATGCTATAGAAAAATTGTCCAAGCTACACTATTGTTCAATTTATCGTTTTGTTTTTATCAGATGAATAAATGTCCTATATTTTTTTTGGAATAGGTATTTTTATTTGTTATTTTCTGTTTTCTGATATGTGCAGGGTTGTCCAATTTGGACACTTTTGATAGAAAACGTTATTTTCTGAGCAAGATACAAAAAAATCAACCCCCACTCTGAGGCTCGAACTTTATGATATTGTGAACCGTTTTGTGACAATTGTGACTAGGGAATCTAGTGACTTTCTCAGTTTTTTTTCTATTTATTCCCGAATTCGAGATATTAACCAGAGTCCGATTGTTTTGATTGGACACTGGACACCCTATATATTAATTACCGATTGAATAGCTCTGCTTTTGCTGCTTTCAATATTTCAATGATATAAAGTTTGATAGGTTTATCTTTTTTGTTCGAGTTTTCCGAAATCCTACGGAAATCCCCGAAATCCTCCCAAAATCCACGAAATCACTCCGAAATCTCTCAGAAATCATTCCGCATACCCAAAAGGCCCAAAATTCGTTTTCGGCCGTTTTTCAGTTTATACTATACCGGGTGACCACGAGATTACTGACCAAGCTCTAGTTCAGGCATGAATATCAGTAGAGTAAGATGGTTCCTTCTGCATCATAGGATCCTCCCCATGGGTGCGAGAGAGGAAGCACTATACCCCCGTCTCTGCGGGTGTGAGAGAGAAGGCACAATGTCAGCACTGGGAAAGTTAGTCGCTGCCAACGCCCTCTATCCACCATCACGCGTACTATCGACCATCGACTAAAACACACGTTAAGACAGTAGCGCAACCTATCTTAAGTCAGTCGCACCACCTGTGATTAGCGATTCGCGTACCATTTATCGTATTTCATCCGTGAGCGCAGGAATTTATAATTTTCATACCTTTAAATAATTAAAAATAAAAAATGCTCTTAATCAGATGAAACAGCAATTAAGGTCAGAGCAAGGTAAGGGAGAAGCATCAATAAGAAAAATCCAGTGCTGATCATCTGTATAAACACTCATTAGGATTTAGGACTTCTATTTTTCAATTGATTCACGTCTATCGCGGCGATCGGATTAAATTCTTTATTGAAAGAAAATCTAAATGCTTACTCACGTGTTGTGTAGGTACCGTCATCCTATTTACAGAGTGAAACGTTAGTTACTAAGCTATCGACGATTATGGAAATAATTTTGACCAAATGAGTTGATAGAAATAAAGCGAGAATGTGTAGTCTGCAGCGCATAAAACATAAAAGGGCCGAAATAATGCGACAAAAAGCCATCAGTGCCAAAGTTTACGGCTAATACAATATTCTCAATCTCAGGTAAACAAACCCACATCATTGAAAATATATTTTAGTCGGAGATATCTTACATATTATTAAAAACTATTTTTGTTTGTAAGTTTGTCAACAAAGCCTACCTCTACCTGACTGACATTTCTTTCTGGTGGGCCTCCGTAAACTTTGGTTATTTGATGCTTCAGGTATAAAAATATGTAATTTCGGGATCCTATTGGGTCTGCTGAAAAATACGAATGAAAAAACAATTTTCTGTTCCAAATTAAATGTATTGTTAAGACGGAAAAAAAAATGTAATTTATTGATTAAAAATGAGTAATTTACTTGGCTACTGTCAAAGTCATTATTATATTGATTAGGTTTAAGCAGTACTCCAAAAATTGTTTGGAAAGCACAAATGGGTTTCAATGGTATAAATACCCCAATACCTGACTTGAGATAACAAAGGAGGGTTTCGGGTTTAGGCTGAATAGAAAAAGGGTCAGGATAATTCTTTGGGAAACGAAAAGTCGGGAATATTTCTGGTGTTTTTTATTATTATTGGTTGTGGTTTTGGGTAATCCAATAAAACATTAATTACCAGACGTTCGAACGTTTGTTTCATTTAGCCCACATCACTACTGAAAAAAAACACGGGCGAATGACTATATCATCACACTGCAAGGTGTTATAATACTTAGGGTAGTTCTCACTCTTATCCTTAAAAAAATAGATATAATACTGAAAAATGAAAATTAATGTGCTCTTCACATAAATTTTATTTCAAATTTGAGATATCTTTCAAAAATTTTGACATTAGCTATTAAAATCGCCTAATAGGACACTTTATGTTTATTGAAATATGAATGAAGTACCTAATTAGATAGATGTTTTCGAATTTCCACAACATAATGATTAAAAATTGACTGTTTTAAATGGTTTCACTTCTACTGCCGGAAAAAGCAACAAATATAGATATCCCCATAGCCTAGAGAAGGCCTTGATCTTACAGATGCGACGAACAATCTCCTTCAATCAACGGTACCTACAAGTTCAAACACGATTGAATTTTTGACGAGTTGTGGTGGAGTACCGGGGGGGGGGGGGGGGGGTGTTAGTGATGTATACAAAGGAATGGGAGCAACTTTGAATTTTAATCTCATTCAGTCTAAAATCGTCGCCAGGTGAAGAGTGATTATAGCACAGTGAACATTTTTTTTTTTGATCGAGCCAATTTTGAGCTTTTGATTTTTGTGTGTGTTTGTGAATCTACGATCTACTTTTGAGAACCGTAAGTAAAATTTCTATAATAATTATTATTAAAGTGTCCAAGCGCTTATTCCGATATCTACGATCTACTTTTTGAAGGCCATATGTAAAGTTTCTATAAAAGTTATTATTAAAACACCCAAACGCTTGTTTCAACCCCCCCAATAATTAGATATTATGTGCCAAAATATTTTATACATTATGAAATCCGCATAATTTTTTTTTCTCAATAAGATAAATTTAGAGGAATCGTTTAAGTAGGTACCTACCTATAATATACATATTTAAGTTTTTCTCGAAAAGTATCTTTGCACCAATTACCTATACGTAAGCGTTTCAGACATGCATAATGAACCGATTACTAATCATTTGGCTAGAACATGTTTAGGTATACACAGTTTTTCTTGAAAATCACCCAGACACAGTCGATTTTCTCATTCCAATCGCACATAGAGCAAGGCTTCTCGACACTAGATACCATTGCAGATATTCTATGTATTTTAGCTATTCTTAGAAAAAAAAAATCACAAAGCGTGGATATGCACATAGATTAATGAACTTTAGTTTCTCTTACAAATCACCTATGCGCAAACGCATTAAACATATGCCCATAATTTAAATTTTACCAAATGCGATGATTATAACTAATTTCCCAATTATTTGTTTCAGAAAATGTTTGTATGTGAATATTGCGCAAAATCGTTCACCAGGAAGGATAATTTGAAGCGCCATGGAGACTGCAGAGTATCAGCCAATATATGTAACCAATGCGAAGAAGTCTTGGATTCCAAAGGGGCCCTCCAACGTCATCTAAAAAAAAACATCCTGCACCGAAGGCCTGTAAACGCCAACTTGAAAATCCGGTAATTTCCATAGTAAAGCGTGCTAAACTATATCAAGCTACGGGTAAGTTGAATTATATTCTTTCCTAGTTAAAGGGGGTGTGACCCTAAAAACGACTCAAGCTGCTTAAATCGAAAAAAAAATCTAAGATCTCTCATGAAAACCTCAGTCCTATATTCGAAATAGTCTCCAAGAAAATTCCTTGTGAAGCACATTATGTAGGAATTTGCGATGTCACAACCGCCGAAATCGCAGGCTTCTCTTCGTTTAGTCATCAGTGAACCGTACCCTATACTTCTGAGTGGTTGCAATTCGCTCAAGGAGATAATTGTCTATTGTTTTTTGAAAATTCTTACACGTGTTAATACTGCCCCTGATAATCCAGTGTGACGTCACAAACACCTAGTTGTAACTTTAAACCGCCATAACTCGAAAACGTACCATCGTAGCAAGATGCGGTTTAAATATTTATTCTCAGATTTTTTTTTTTTTTTGCACTAAAACTTTCATTTTTCGGTCACACCCTCTTTAACAACTCAACTATTGTTGTACTATATTTTTGTTGTTGCTAAATCTGATTTATTAATTTCAGGGCCATCAACCACACGCTGGTGTCAAGACTGTGCCCAGGAGATTTTGATAAGTCAATGGGCTGGTCATCGTCGGAGTCTCCAACACCGGACCAACACCTGTGTTCAACAGGGGGAAGGCGTGCAACTTGTCAAAACATCATTCAAGTGTCGAATTGCTACATACTGGCTCTCTGCGAAACAGGATACTACGAGCTTGAATAAATTTCTACCACACCTTCCGGAAGTTTTATTTTTGTGGTGGGACCCTTTAGTGCTTCTAAAATGAGTCAAAAATATCGTAAAAGTTCCAACCTACTATCCATTGTTTGCTGTCAAAACTAAAATAGAAATTATTTTTTGACATTTTCAATCGCGATTTTCTTGAAAACTGTTTAAGTTAGGTATAGGATATTATACATAAAATATGCTTAGAATTTCTCATAGAATCCAAAAATGTAATAATATAGGAGGTGATCTAGTTGAAATAAAGAAGTTGATGGCACTTGCGGTCAAACCAAAAGCGATAGTCGATTGTTTTTATAGCGAAATTCTGCATCGATATCAATAATATACATCCTCAAAACTTGTAATCGATATTGATATTCATGCCTGAACTAGAGCTTTGTCAGTAATCTCGTGGTCACCCGGTATACACTTTCGAATATACTGATGAGATAAGTAACAGTCTGAAATCAAATTGAAATATTTGTGAAATCATCTGAGATTCTCCGAAATCATCCTTCGAAATTACCCGAAATCCTTCGAAATC